TCATTGATGAAGATGTTAAATAGCACTGGTCCCAGTACAGATCCTTGAGGGACTCCACTTGTCACAAGAAACACTGTTAAGCTTTCTATGTTATACTGAGTATCTTTTAGCATCTGGAGATGGAAGAACTGTCTTTACAATCAGATTCTCTTTGAAGAAAATTAAGATCCCCGATGAACTGTGTCAAAATGATCAACATACTGCCACCTTCTTGATATGATCGCCTTTAAAGAGTGGTAGTCCTGCCCTGAAAATTTCTGAGCCATTTCTGCTCTTTTACATGTAATTTATACAGATGTGTTACTCCAAACTAGTGCATCTCAGTAGACAATGCTTCTCAAAAGCTGCCTTCCCCTAAAGATTGCAAGACTTGTTCTTGCAATCTTGGAATTGTTCTTTCTTGGACCAGTAAACACCAAATGATGGATGAAAAAGGACTTTCATTTTTTTACAGAGACAAAGAAAAACTTAACTAAACTCTGAAGAACAGAGAGAAACTTTAACAAGAGAAAGCAGAAATGGTGGATTAGCCTCCAAGTTGCTAAGAATCTCTTGATTTCATAACTTTAGTAGTTTCAAGCTACCACAGATTAGTTTCTAGAAGTTTCTTGGAACATGCAGCATTACTGAAAGTGAGCTCATCCTGTAGCTATATTTCACACCAGGAGAAAAAAAAAAAAAAAAAAGCCATTTGGCACTTGGACTAGATCACAGTGACTTGAAAACACCAGGGTAATATTCACTGAAGTTCTCAGCAAAATCTTCCCATTACCAGCCCAGCTATGGTTGGTGTCTATAAACACCAACTGCCCTTTCCAGTGTGATGCCCGTCGGAAATCCCAGCTGATGGTGTCACAGGGCTTTCTAACGCACAGAGCAAAACTCCTGCCCCATCTGTTTCAACACATGCACGTCTCTACACTTTCTCAGCCACCTCGACTACTCTTTTTCCCATGCACATCCCAGCTCTGATAGCCTTCATCTCACACCAGCACGTGACTGAGCTCCACACTGCCTGCCTGGGTCAGTTGTTTGGATATCATTAGATGGCCCTGACTGAAAGCCCTAATGAGGTGCTGATCCCATCATCCAATCACTCAGCTGAGCCAGAATGCATCCCGTGGGACGGCCAGAAAAGACTGATGCAAGAATTCCAAGTGATGTGTAACATGAAAGGGCGCCATTCGCATCGCTAGGACTCACAGCCTGTCAGCACAGCCATTAGAAATCCTGGGCTACAGAGATTTATAATTCAACCCTCCCACACACAGAACTTGCTCCAGACTGAAACTTGGCACAAAATTCAATCCCAGGAGGGCATTAAAAAAATAACCCATTCAACGGTTCCCGTCCCATGGCTTCAGCTCACAGCCATTTAAATAATGGCAATTTCTTATTTCTCTTTTTAACTGAGGAAATCCAATATAAACCACCAGATTTACATAACATTGCAGTGGTGATAAAAGCTGGCAACAAACCCAGGGAGAAGGCTGCCAGAGCCATTCCGTCATCCCCTTTTGGTGAATTTCTCCATTTGGATTCAGTTTAACAGAATGATTTTTATTAGGTCAAGCTGACATCGTGTGTAATCTGCAAATCCCACCTCCACGTTGGTCAGGCAGCTTGCCCTAGCTTTGTACACCTTGTGTTCCTGTTAGGAGGGGACAACCCCTCCTGTGGTCAATGCAGCCTCCCACTTGTGCTGTCACTGTTATTTCTTTGCTGCAAACTCTGCTGGCTGATTTAGAGGACAGTAATTAGTTGCCTATTGAGCTGAAAAAGACCAACTGGACAAGGAATGGACATATACAAAACAAAGAAGGGAATTGATGCAAGCCAAAAGGTATTTGTGAGTAGAGCCTTTGATTTGATCGGAGATTGTTCAAACAACGACAACCCCTGCTTCCACAGAGACACACAGACATAAGCCTGTTGTGGCTGCAGCCGTTTCTCCACCAGGTATTTCAATTCCTACGGGGGCCATCTGTAACCTTGAGTTTGTCAGGGGGAAGAAAAAAAAAAAAAAAAAAAGATCTTGGAAGTTGATGCAATGCCACAAACGCTTCTTAATAAATACATCAGACTTCAGGAAGTCTGCAGCAAATGACTGCTGTGAGCGTAAGACTTCTGCTCCACCAACACTCACCCAGAGAGGTCTTTTGTGGCACATGCAGGATAGCAAGGGGCTTGTGTCACCCACAAAATATACCATCTGCTGGGTGGGCTACTGGCTCCCATCTCACCACCACCAGCACCACTCTTGCTCTCCCACAGCATACCTGAGATGCAGCCCCTGCTGCCACACCCCAGCTGCAGGACAAGTTGTATTACACATCATCACTGAAGCATCTGACAGATTTTTCCTATTCGTCATAAAAGTCCGCAAGTAGCACAACTATAAAATAATTACACAACCAAATGCTATGAAAAAAAAAAAAAAAAAAAGAAGATTTTTATCAGTGGTCAATCCCAAGGCTCCAAAGCTCAGAAAGAGGAGTCTTTCCTGTTCTTTGGAGAAGTACTGATTTAAAGGTACTTTAAATCAGTTTGGACTCTCTTTGCTGCTGTCACCAAAGATGCTACAAGCTACGGCAGTCAATGCAAAAATGCTTCTTCCAGAATGTGGTGGTAGGCCTAAATTGCCATTGTTGCACTGACTCCCCGTGAACTAAACCATCCTCCACGTTCCAGCTGTGCAAACGCTTTTGGGTTTCTGAGACCTACATATACAATGCTGCTCCAGAACAGGAGAAAAAAGCTGAGCCCAAGGGGCCACCTGAGCTTTCAAACCAGAAAAACAAGATGGGGCAAGCATCTGCAGAACCACCTTCTTTTTCAACAGCTGTACAGTTTTCTCCTACCTTGTCCTTTAATTCCAAAAGGGGGTACAAAGTCCCTGATACGTGCCCATTTCCTGAAGGAATCATCCAAGAACATTGGTGCCGGCTTCGAGAATCTGAGAAAACCAAAATGAGAGAGAAATTAACTCCTGAACTAGGAAGGATACATTTCTGTAGGGAGGATGAGAGAATCCATACCTAAGTCCTGATTCCACATTCTCACCAGCAGTACAGTAACGTGGAAGATTTAACTTTTACCCAAAGGCGCCTGCAGTGGAAGAAATCTGTCAGACTCTGTGCCATGAGGTCACCCAAAACACTTAAGTCGTAAGCCTGGCAATCGCTTCCACACTATTGTTTGGCTATTAATTTAGCTACAGTAAGTTGTAAATCACAACCAGAGTTCAGGCAGTTTTACTTCCAGCTTTGTAAGCACAAGCCAATTTATGCGCTGTCTACATGAGCATGTGAGGAAGGGGTGCAGAGTTGCCTTTATATTGTTCATTACATATATGCGTGCTTCTCTGTGCAGGTGTGGATGCACAAAATGCATGTGCAAGGCTGGGGTTATCTGCTCTCATGGCTGCTTCTGCCTCATATACGCATACACAGCAGCTATCATAACACAGGCAAGAAAGGAAATGGTTCAGGAGATCATGAAGCAGCACTTAGTTTACAGAGAATGAAAATTCAGTACAGATGTAGGTGTTTTCTTTTGCATTCATTAACATATAAATGAATCAAGAGAGGTCCTTGCCAAACCACACAGTTGTGATCTATCCAAAATCACTTACAAAAGAGAAAAATAGTCCTTCTTAACCGTGTCATTATGGGAATATATTATCCTAATTACACCCTCAACAGACAAACACAGCAGCTACTAAAAATTTGTCTCTTCTAGAAACAGTACAGTGGCCAGATAGAAGGAAACAATTAGCAAAAGAAACTACAGAAATATTAACTTTCATATGGGACCATTTCTGAGTATATCAAGAACACTGCTAGAAAATATGCTAATACTATTAGAAATCTGTTCATTCAATCATATCAAAACAGTAGCAGGGATGTTCTGGATCAAAATCAATCACACTAGGCTACAGAAATGAATAAAGGAATGTACCGCATTTAGAGTCAGAGAATACATCTCCACTACGGACATGCTGCAAGTGCAATGTACACGTATCTGAAATAGATACAGCCTGGCTAACCTAGGTACTGGCAGCAGGATAGATGTAACACACCAGTTTAACCCTCCCTTCAGGCTGTTTTTGCACTCAGCATGCAACTCCATGCTACTGCAATCAGATAACTTTTGGACTTGAACAACTTGATGCAACATAAACTCATCTACATTATGCCACAGCCAGGTACAGAACAACAATTTCAGATATTTCAGATATCAGCACAATGAGGAAAGGATGGAATGAATTCTGAATTATAAACTGCTCAAAGTACAGTCCTATCACAGATGCCCTGTAAATCAGAGGTTGCAGAAATCTCTGGGAATGGGGAAGAGAGAAACCAAGAGCATTTAACAAAACAAGAACAGAAGACTCCAACTCACCCATGCATACTGTTTCAAATCCACTCATGCAATCTGTAATAAGATTATCTATAACCATAGAAGCAGGATGCACAGATTACATGTCTGATCTAGAAGGAAAGGAATGTTTTTCCAGAGCTGAGGATATGAAAGAATCTATAGACCTTTATCTGGGGAAAGGTGGGGAAGATGTGTTAGATATATTAGAGCTTCTGAAGATCTTGAGTAAAAAACAAAAAACCCACAGGCCTACTTAAAAAAAAAAAAAAAAAAGAGAAAGAACAGGATACAATAATACTCTGAAAATATCCTAAAAGCTTCAATAACCTGACAAATTAGTTCAGTGTTCTTTCAAGCATCTTGGTGCACTGAAATGTAAGTATTATGTTACACTGGTGGATCTCCAAGGAGTTATCTCCACCTCCTTCCAACATCAATAGGAGGAATCTTTGCAGGATTCTCATACATTGTAAGAGCTTTTATAACCTGAATAGCTACAGCACAGACGTTCACAGCTCTTGCTTTACAGCTACCACTTGAACGAATAGCAGAAGTCAGGTCCCACAGAATGGTCCCCGTTCTCCCCAAGCAGCAGCCACAGTGAAGGAGAATGGCACTGCCTGGGGGTCACCAGCACCTTTGGGATGGTTTGTTAGGTCACCGAGCTACTCTGGTTGCCACTGTGACATGCAACTTTCAGGAAAAATTTGGATGCTTCAGAAAATGCATATATGAGCAGGTTTTATTCTCCTCTCAAGAATCAAGAAGATTCCCTACAATAATGCTACAAAGTAGTACAGTATGATTTAAAAACTTATCCAGTTCAGTTTGCCTATTCAAGAGCACTGCACGAAAAAGATGGTACAGGCTGTAAGGTCAGGCCTAACTCAGAAGTTGGTATTATTTATAGATGCAATTAACTGGTCTATTTGCAAGTCATACACCAGGAGAAGACAGTTTACAGTAGTCTGACATGGAGTATTGAGTATCTCTCCCTAATGCAGATTCCCCCTTACAAGGTGCCTGGTAAAACCAGGAGGAAGGTCAGACCCTCCTGGGACTCCCTGGGCCCTGAGGGGAGTCCCCAAAAGCAGCAGCTGAAGCACCAGCAGGACTGATCTGATGCTCTATGGTGTCCCTTCTGCATGTGACCAAAGTGATGCCCAAAGAGAAGGCTGAAGTGACCATTGGACTTGTTATTGTATTTGCTACAAGTAAACTTCGGGATTTTTCTAGCAAACACCACAATAGCCTTAGACCACCTCCTACTATCTGATAATACTTAACAATACTGTACACAGAGCCAGGGAAACTGACTTTTAATTCTTAATTTTGCTTCATTTACAGAGGGGGGAGGAACAGTTTTGGGGGAAATATTATATCCACATGGGGGGAAAAAAAGAGCAAATTAGAGGATATTTAGCTCCCATAAATCTTGAAGGTAATTCCATTTTGGAACTGTTAAGAAATCATGAATGCTGTAAGCTCATGATATATGAAAAGTGCTTTGCCACCTCAATAAATCAGAGCAGGCCAGAACCGATGTCCAGCAGTGACAGGGAAACACTGTCTGCCAGACCTCTCCAGGAGCATGGCTGTTCTGTCTCGGCTCTGAAGCGCATCTGGCATATTCTAGTACCCTTCAGGAAATATCAGGATATGCCTCAAACAGGCCATGGGAATGCTCTCCGCAGAGCACCTAAAATACATTCCAAGGAATGCGTGGGAGTTTGTCAAACAGAAAAAGTGAATGTTTCTAAATGATGTTAAATTTTGTATCTACTGAGCAGCTTACATATGGGATGCTGTATTTTACCCGGGTCGTCTGCCGCTGCTACCTAAAGGCAGGTGAGCTTCACCAACTTCACCACAGCTCTAGAACTGAAATAGGCTCGTGCTCTATGGGCAAACAGCACGTAAAGCGAGAGTTTTAGTTTTTCAAATTTGATTTTTGACCACTTCCTATCTACACCACCCCAGATTCCAGAACAGACATAATGCAACCTCATAGCACATAACAGCTATGAAAAGGTGAGAAATTTGGGTGCTTGTGGCACACATTTATGACCTGCATGATCTGGGAGAGAAAGGCCAATCATTAGTTTGAATAACATACCCTGATAACACAGCAAATGACATCTAAATAGACAAAATCTGGCATCAATAATCTTAAAGATCTTTTCCAACCTAAATGATTCTATGAAATGCTGGATACGGTAACTACGAGGTACAGTCCAAATCTCTCCCAGCTCTCAAGTTTGCATTCCTTATAAAAAGACATTAGTAAAACCTCTAATACAATTTGCCAGTGCACACAGCAAAAGGAATTGTACTGCCAGGAAACTATTCTTAAACAGGAATCTATATAAACAAGAAAGTGTGATATATATTTGTGCCTAGGGGACTACAGCTTATATGACAAAAAAAAATTACATTTCCAGTTATTTTCTCCCTGACAAGCAAGAAGAGTTGTGACCCCAAAACATTTCTACCTGGAAGGTTGAACTAGCCTGCCAGAAGCTCCCCAGCCAAGTTTTCCAACCACTTCCATTCTGTCCTCAACACACAGATCCATTCATAACCACTCCTGTTTGATGTGTGCTGAGGTATTCAACATTGGCAGCGCTAACTTCTCAAAGTATTGCACAAATCCTAGACCAGCACTGCCTCTATTAAAGTAGCTATTGAACAATTTCAGACATTTAATCTTGACTAGAATCTGCTCCCTACTCCTACCTGCTGCTTTCAAGGCAATTAATACATAAATTTGTAGAAAGGAATAAGCTAGACCAGCGAGAAAGCAAAATAAACAAACCAATGGATAGTCTTTAGCTATAACAAGGAGGGAGGAAGACAAGGCCAAGTCCCTGAAAGAGTAGAGGAGAAGATAGCACCACGTTTCCAGAAATCATGACACTAAGGAAAGGCAGATTGGCAGCCACTAAACTCCAGTGGGGTCCTTATTTCTCAGGTATTTCCTTCCCCCCCCCACCCCCCCAAGCTGCCCTGCCCTTTTGTTTCTTCTTCAGTTAGGGAGAATCAGCAGCAAAGAAAAAATGGAAGCTGAAGGAAAAAAACCAAACGGTGCTAGAACCTCACGTTGTACATAACCTGCACATTGCATTTGCAAAACGGCTTGAACAACCTTTTTTTTAAACACAGAAAAGAATGACTTATTTATTCCAGCATGACTTCTGCCCTCTCTTTTGTTTGCTTATGCTCAAAAGCATCCACAGTTAGACAGAAGGCACAAAATTTTATTAATAAAATGGCTGAAATACAAATCAAAGCACTCTAGCACTGAATAATTAGCTCTGATAAAGGCATTTATAAAAGTACGGAGAGAAAATCTAAACTAATCTTTTCCTTTTTCCCTAGTAAGACCTAGATGTATGTTCTCTCCCTTGCCTCCATTCTCTGGGGAGCAGCATGGTGTGATAGCGTAGGGAATGAGGACGCTTGTGATGTCCTGATTTCACATTTCTTATTGACATTAATCCTCTGTCAAAAATCCAAGCAGCTCAAAGATTCCTCAAGCAGCTGAAAAATTTAAGAAACTACGTTAATAAGGAT